TTTAGGGCTCGCGGTCTTGATGCTGGCCCGTTTCCTTGACGACTCGCGGACAGAAGGCGGAGGTCCACAGAGCTCGCCTGTTGCGCGGCGGTTGCGCGGGCGCTTCCCAATCGAGGCCGATGCTTTCCACGGCCTGAGAGAGCAGACGCATCAGCTCAGTCTCAATGCCGGCTCTCTTACCAGTGGTCTGGCGGGAAACGCTAGCGGAGGGGAGATCCACGGAGCTCGCCCAATCCTCACTATCGGATGCCAGAAGAGAACACGCCTCGGTGGGTTCGTCAAACTCGTGGATGGACGCGGCGGCAGGCGGCGGCCGTTGTCCGTCAGTGAGCGACTCGAGCGAAGCCGGCGAAGCTGGCGGGCGAACCGGCGAGCTTTGGCGGGCAGGAGAAAGCTCGGGAGCGCGCTGGGCGCGGCGCTTCTTGCGGCGCGGCACCACGGCGGGCTGCGGTGAAGGCTCGGAGAATGATGCCAGGCGAGTCCTCAGAGTCACCATGGGCAAAAGCTCGCAACAAGGGCATCCGCCGTCAGCGAGCGCGAGAGCCGCGTGATCCTCACCCAGGCAGGAAACACAGATGACGTGCCGGTCTCCATCGCTGAGCGGGGCGCGGCACGAGCCACAGGAAGGCATCTTTAAAAAGACGCAGCTCTTTTTGTGAGAGAAGTGTGAGTCGCGTCAAGTAAGCGAGCAAACACTCTCAACAGAGTAAATACACACAGAGTATGAAAGGATATAGAACGCCGGAAAGCGCAGCAGGTACGGCAGTTGAAGGCGGCGAGGCCAGCGACTCCAGAGCTCGTCCCGCTGAAAGGCTTGCTTCGACGGCGCGGCTTCTCACTCCGGATCCAGCGATGCGTGTGCTTCGCTGAAGAGGTAAAAATCAGCTTGTATCAGCCTAACGAGCATATTTATAGGGTGAGACCACGCCCCTTCTGGCGGGACGTGACGATATGGGCGCGAATTGCCCCCATTGGTCATTACGTCACGCAGAGTCTCTCTCGATAGGCTGCTGCATTTGCTGCAGAGCAACCAATAGGCGCGCGAGCTGTTTCGCCTATGTCTGCTTGCTGCTGCAAAGCGTTTTACATTAATAAAAAATTGAGGATAATTTTTGGCTTCAATATCTCGCGGAAAAGAGTTTTTCCCCTAGCGTAAAGCTATTACGCAGTACGAGAGATACTCTCGTAAGAGAACACATCGGCTGTTCATAAAGCATGCGTTTGTGGCAGTGGAATGGGAATTAACACAAGGTAATGAGACGCAAGTTGAACTTCTTTTAACTTGAGCGCAGCGTTTTTAGAATGCCGTTTGCAATGCGCGGGTGCAACAGCAAACAAGTCCGTCAAGCACAAAAAAACCTTTAATGTACTTCTGTATGTTTGAGATATCATGTTTTCATTAACGTTGACAATGTAGGGATTCTAGGAAATACCAGGACACGAAACACCTGCACGCGCATACACACACACACAGAGACAGTCTGGTCCACTATATTTGTGGGGACTCTCCATAGACGTAATGGTTTTTTTATACTGTACAAACAGTATATTCTGTCTCCTTACACTGACCCGACCCATCACACACACACACACACACACTACACAGACCCCTAAACTTACCCGTCTCACACACAACTTTCTCCATTTTTACATTTTAAAAAAAAACTCATTCTGTATGATTTATAAGCTTGTGTACCTATAGGTCCCAAAGTGACACGAGTCCCCATGCGTCTGTGTGCATTCAGGTTTAAGTCCCCAACAGGATATAAAGACATGTACACAGTGCACACTCACACACTGCATAGATACTTATTATTTAATTACACTGGCTTCACAGCAGGTTGTGTTGGCTGTAGTCAGATAAATTGAGCTGTTTTTTTGTTATGTTCCAGTGGCCACTCTGAAAAGTAAACTATGTTTAACAAGATTTAATCTTTAATATGAATTAGTTTGTCTGAATTTTTCAATTTTTTTTTCTTGTCTACTTTTAAGTTCTATTTATTTGGTGCTTTGTTCAATCTCAAACCCTTATTTTATTTGTATTATTAAGATGTCTGCACAAGAGTTAACTGTAATCTGGGCAAACATTAAACTTTGCTGAAATTAATCGTCTCGCTTTGGTCTACACTGGAAGTGTTCTGTTAGCTCTGCTAAACTATAATTACTAAAACTAAAACTAAATAAAATAAAAACTAAATAGAAATGTGTTTGCAAAATAAAAACTAAACTAAAACTAACAATACCATTAATGAAACTAACTAAAACTAAACTTAAATTTAAAGCAAAATTGAAAACGATATTAAATAAAAACTAATTTAAAAAAGCAAAACTATAATAACCTTGGTGTGTTCCGAAAAAAGAAGGTAATGAGCCATAAGAATAACATAAGGTGAGTGAGTTACCCTAGTTCACAGTTCCAATAAGTTGTGATCCGGTTGCGATGGGTTAAATAAACTCAAACTAAATAAGCAGAAACAGAGGACAGACCAGTATTGAAGTGTTCAGGAAATAACTTTGTTTTTGCGGAGGTTATTTCGTTAATATTGAGTATCAATTGATGCCATGGTAAACGACGAGGCTGAATAGCTCTTAGCTTGTTAGCTTTAATAGCTCTTAGCTTTGCTGCTCTTATTTGTGTTTTATGTGTTGTTATGCAGATATTATTTTCTTTTAATCTGGTTGTTCAGTAAAGCACTTTGGTCAGCCTACTAGCTGTTGTAAATGTGCTATATAAATAACGTGAACTTGAATCCATTGTGCATTCTCTCTGTGCTGTCCAGTGTGTCCCGCAGCTTTTCCACACAGATTTTGGTGGTAATGAACACGATATGTTTTTTTTCTTCACCCAAATGGTCTCCATCCTATGCATTTTGTAATAATACAGAAACATTTTATAATTGACCGTATTTGCCAGAAAATAAGTCGCATCATGTAGCCTGAATGTAAGTCACACCGGGTCATGAGAGAGAAACACACGCGCGCATCACATCGTTGTGAAAACCACATTTTATTATTAGCCTATTCAGCAATAGTGTAAAAGGCCGGTAAATAAAATACAACATTAACATTATAAACACTATTAACATGTAGGCTATGCGTATTTTACTTCCCCTTACTGTATGACAAATCCTTAAATGAATGGTATTCAGAAAACAAGAATGAAAAATAAGTGCTATATGCTATAATAAAAATAATAAATAAATAATAAATAAAAAAATATACATAGCCTTTAAAAATAGCCTATTGTGCCCTTTATTACAAACAACATTTAGCCTATTTTAAACGCCAAGCCTAAATAAATTTATTTGAATCGAAACTGAAACTGTACTGACGTTGGGTTCGCGCATCTCTCATTCGGTCCAAAGTTTCCATATTTGCTATTAATATAAAGAAGGCTTCGTACTTCAGTCGAGTTGCAACGTAGGCTAAATCAGCATCTTCACAGCAAGGGAAATGAGTTTGACTAACCGGCACAACCTTTATATTGTACAACAGACAAATTCAATTAAGCAGAATAACTTTTAATATGTTTGGTTGAATCTGTTTTATTTTGATAATGAACAGGCTACGATCTCAAGTTAGCAATCCCAGAAGTGAACTGATAATATTGTGTGAGAGCGCAATGGGCCGGAGCTATCACTGGGATTTGTTCCTCAGCAGGGGAAATAACTTAATACTCTTGTCATTTATAGTCATACAGATAATATGACATCATTTGAAAGTGTAAAATGTATATTTTTATTTGTGTACATTCAAAATGACTACAAAATGTCATGCCAGAGACAGTGTAGAGAAAGAATTCTCTAATAACCGAGGCACTCCTTAATTAAAATGTCTTTATTACAAAAATGACATGTCCTAAACTGCGTTTTAAAGTTGTCCGTTTAGGACATGTCATTTTTGTAATAAAGACATTTTAATTAAGGAGTGCCTCGGTTATCAGAGAATTCTTTCTCTACACCGTCTCTTAGATGTTCTACCTTGGACCGAAGAGCACCCAAATCAAACTCAAAAGGAATTGAGCACGCCATTCATCTTGAATCTAAACAAAATGTCATGCCTTTGAAAAAAAAAAGAAAACAACATGCTTTAGTGAGTCTCGGTCTCCTTGAACCTCTTTCTGGCGCACACCAAAAATGAACCAAAATACAGCGAATAGCCTTCTTGGCACGCCTACATTTGAAAGTCAACATTTAGATTATTTGAACGAAGTTAAATGCTTTATATAGGCCTAAGTCTGGAATAATCACAGCCTGTTTCATGATAAAAAACGTGACTTTAGTTTACAGTCCGGAAAATACGGTATAACAAATTATTTCACGGACCCCCCTGGCACTTGAGAACTGCTGGTCTACACCAGTCTGTGGTCTACACAAAATAATCCCTGTCTAGGCTCTTCCCTGGTACGGGTTGTGTCGAGCCATAAGTCTGGTTGTATGATGAGAAAAAGATGAAATGTAGTAGTTGCAATAAACGCGCTAAGAATCCGTACAACTGCAGCAGCGGAGGACTATTATTCTGCTGAGCGGAACTGAGGAAGAACTGATGACGGAACAGTTTGGTCTTCGGCTGACAAATCAGAGGAAAGGGGCGTTTCATTCCCGCCCATGTGTAGAAATCGAATATTCAAGCTGTTTATACATTTTTCTACCCGAGAACGAAAAACGAAAAATCAAGCTGAATACTTGTTTTTCAGGAAAAAAGGAACTGTTTTCTCGTTTTTCTACTTTCAATAATAAATCAAAAAACGAATGAACACGGATGGTGAACACTTGCGGTACACGGACCGTAAGGTAATATTGTCTTTGTTTTAATTTTGTCAGAGTCCTAAGATTTTCAATGTGCTCTCAAACTTTTGAACCCCACTATATGTAAAACAGATCTGATACCTCTTCTCTTCAAATGCTTCCCGTAATGCATCTTTTTCAAATTATAAACAAATCTTGTATCTTGTAATACATACAACATACAAATGCCTTCAACCAGAAGCTTGCACTTACCCATCTCTTCCTTTGCTTACGATCTTCACCTCAAAGTAGTAGATGCCACAAGCAGCAGGGATGGGATGGGTGGCCCGAACAGAAGCTGCATCCTTGTGGTTTTTTCCGTGGCCTAAAGAAAGACGGAAACATTGAGGGAAATGAGTCACTGACCAAACACACCCTCTGATATAGATGACTGTCCACATAAATAACAACAAAGTTCAAAAAAGTTTTTAAGAGGACAGGGGTTTTCAGCTAGGGATAGGTCACGATGGTTGACGAAAACAGACACTCTCCAGTTGTTTTCAAATGTATGAATATATCTTATTCCAACAGCCCATAAGAAACACATCCAATGAATAGGGCACAGGTGAATCCAAAACGAAATACAGGGCTTCATTCCAGCTGTCATTTTCGCAGTTCTCCAGACAATCACTGTATAACAATCTTTCTTCTGTGGAACATTAAAAGAACATATTTTGAGAATTGTCTCAGCGGAAGTTCATTGGTCACCAAAACTGTTTGGTTACTAACATGAATAAAATATCTTCTTTTGTGGTTCAAAGAAGGAAAATCAAACAAATTTTCATAGTGGGTCCAATGTAGCCAATGCGCTTAAGGTATTTAAATAAACTATTGTATGGGCCCTAAATGAGTTTGCTCATGGGTTCCATGTCGTCCTATCTGAATTAGTGGTGCTAATTAATGGTGCTGCTAATTCATATAGGGCCAACATGGAACCTAATTAGCCCAAGTATGGGGCTAATTTAGATAGGGCAGACATGGAACCCGTGGACCCATACTCAATCCCATATTGTGCGTACGTTGGCCCCACCATGAAATGTTGGCTGGGGAATAACACGAGGGTGAGAAAATAATGACAGAATGAATGGTTTGGGTGAACTAATTATTTTCAAATGTTAAAATACTCTCCTATCCCAATTTGATGTGCAGAGACATCTATAATTAAGCCGAGGTTGTATTTCCAAAGACTGCAAACAGTGTGGCAATAAAACATTGCTATGTTTGTTTGAATGGTCCAACATGTCAACTTTTGGCTAAACCAATGGCATGAGTTTGTGGTGGGACCACCTGTTTGTGAGCACATTCCCCTCCTACAGTTTGTTTGTAGATGGAGTGTGTTTGGAAAACCTGTTTAGAGGGAATAATTATTTCTCTTTTGGTGCTGTTAGTGGGTCCAGAAATTAAACAATGCACCTTTACAAATCACTAGAAATTATAAAAAGTCAACATGACAAAACAAAATTTACCCAGTTTACTTTAAGAGACTTAAGTCTTGATGTAATTAATCAGTTATTCATTCAAAAGGGAATGTTTTTGATCTTGTCAAAATGTACCAACTTGACACACTGAAGCAACTTTCCTCCTCTACTTTGAGCTCCTCCCCTTGAACTGCAAACTGCACTGGTCCATTCTAATTGGGTAAGCCCATTTTCATAAGACCAAGTTATTTCTGATGCATAGCCTGAATCAACTCTCATCCTGTTTAACTCAAAAGGTCAAATTATGGGAACAAAACTGGTTATGAACAGCATTTCATGTAGTTTTTAAAGTTAACATCTAATACACTTTGACTTCAACATTTCTGCTCATTTCACTTGTGAGAAGTGAGTGTCATTGCCGTCTAAGCCTCCATGTACCATAGCAATGTGCTCCAATCTCCTAATCCATTTTCCTGCAGGTTGCTAACACCTCCCAGCATTAATAGACACTCAGTATTAGATTCTGCGAGGCCAGGCTTGCCTCCTGAGCCAATCATTTACTCAAACCTCACTGCACTTCAAGAGTCTCATGTTTAACTTCTCCGTGTGAACGTATATGGACGTATCTTTGTGTTTATGTGCCCCAGACCTGTAACTTAACCCACATCTGCAGTTTGATTCCAGAACACCATGTCTTGGTGCTACTGTATGTGGTGGTTTGAAGCACAAGTGTGTAAGAAATTATGTACTAAGTTTTTATTTATGCTTCATCATCAGATAACTGTAATAATATTAATCACTTTTATTTTTAGCATCCCAAGTTCTGCTATCAAGCCACAATAGGTTTGTCTGCCAAACCCAGACAAGCATTCATAATCAAGAACACACAAAATCTATTTATATTCGTGGCTCACACAACCAGAGTAAAGGCAGACGACCCTGTATGTGCAAATCCCTGACTCTCTCTTTCAACACACACACACACACTACAAATGCACATACGTGTGCACGCTCCTCCCCGCCCCCTGCTCACACGCTCAATCTATTTATACATCATGCCATGACCACACCATTCTGGGAGCACAGAACAGCGAGAGGACCTTGGGTGATTCTCTCCTTCTTTAGCTGCTTGTCTGTCTGTCCCTCCCTCCCTCTATTTCTCTGCCAAACATGTTTAATGCACAAAACACAAACAGCTTTCATACAGAGTCATCCTCTGCAGTGCATAATCATATGTCCGGTGCATCTTAAAGCGCTGCTCTAATCCAGTGTAGGACATATCATTTTTTTTATTGTATGTTCTGCATCTGCGCTAGTTGCTTTAAACATGCCTCACTTTTCTCTTATTTTGTAATGGGGATGAGCCAATCATTTGTTAACACCTTCAGGACACATAACCAACTCATTTCCAGTCTTGACACAAGGGTGAGAGTTTACATGCATGATCTTACACTTATTCTACTTAATAACACAATGACATGCATGTCCTATAAAATATCCCAGAAATCGAGTGAGAGAGAAGCTCTGTTTCCACTTGGTATTAAGATGCATTTTCGATGATCACAAGCGGCCAGCCAAGATGCATTACCATTTACACCTGTATTTTCATGCGTTTCAAATGCGTCTCCTGTGACCACTTGCGTAATAATTACGTAACCCGTAATAATTCCCATTTTCCAAAAATTAGTTATTGCAGGGTGAGATGTCTGTAATTATGTTGAAAAAACAAAACATTTTAGAAGTACAGTATGCACAATTGTAGTATTTGTTGAATCGGATTCAATTCATGCCAATTTAACAGAACATTTCATTACTGCATTACATTAATGGCCCTGTTTACACCTGGTATCTTGGATCTTCAGCTAACAAAGTTTAAATCCCATTTGGCAGAGAGTAGGCGGTCTTTTGTGGCTTTTCGAACGGATTCGACCATAACGTTTACACTACATAAGCAATCCGGTCAAATCTGTGATCCGATCGACCAAAATGCATATTAATACCAGGTGTAAACAGGCAGGGCCATTCTTACTTCACAGAAATGATCATTTGAGGGAATATGTGCTTAAAGCTGCAGTAGGGAGTTTTGAGAAAACGTTGACTTAGCCTGAAAATTTGAACAAGCACAACTTACAGGTCCCACCCCCTTGCTCTCTGCTGCGCTACAGCCCTCCCTCCACAGCTCGTCCCCCACAGCGGAGCCTGCCGTGAACGCGCAGGCTAAACAGGGCCACCGATAACAGCGGATAAAAAGTGATATGGCACATTCACTAATAGGGACTAAACGTCAACAATATGCTTTACATTGACTATGGCCTGCCCATACTTTGACTACAAACTTGGTCCTCAAATCATTATGTATTTTGCAATAGCCTACATGTAACTTTATAACGTTGCACTCTTTCTATAAGTTATAAATAGCTAGTAAGATAACGTTAATATAACGGTAACTAACCTTACAGTATGCAAGTAATTATTCTAGCGATATATAATGCTAGATAAGGTTTGCTAGTACATTATTTCAGCAATATGACAGGCCAGTGAATTAGCAGGTTTCAATTGTTGCTTAGCAGAGTGCGTGACATTTTATCTACATGTTATGCCGCTAGAGTTTTGACACCGAATCTGTGTAATTCTTTCTTTTTCGCTTGTTTATCGTCATCGGTCTTTTTCCTTTTACCTCTTTGTTTTATGAGCAGGTGTCACTCGAGAATTGGCAGTTTAGGTTGTTTCTCCGTCATAAGCACAGCTGCAGCACGCCGGCAATCTTGAGTTTGAACGACGGCTCGCGCTGTGCAAGAGAGGGGTGTGATCAGCGCGAACACAAGCGTGATTGACACTGCTAAGACATTCCTCCTGGCTCTGATTGGTTGTTTCTGACCGGGAGCGTGTATTTCTGCAAATGGCAATAGGACCACTGGGAGGAGCCAGAGGAGCTTGATTTTTTTCACAGATTATCTGTCTCATATTCTACTGTCAGGACATAATGACAGTTTTAACAAATATGTAAAAAAAATTTTTTTACAAAAGTTACCTACAGCAGCTTTAAAGTCAGCATGAAATGGAAATTCACCAATCTTCTAAATGATCTAGCGAATGATTCACCTGTGGTAATTTATTTCAGCTTGTAATTTTTAACCAAAATATCATAACTAGACTGGCTAAATGATAACTGGCTAAATGATATCATAAATATAATTTAGCCAGCAGCCATATCACCCTGTAGCCCAAGACTGGTTGCCCACTGAAGCTAAGCAGGGCTGAGCCTGGTTAGTACCTGGATGGGAGACCTTCTGAGAAAACCAGGTTGCTGCTGGAAGAGGTGTTAGTGAGGCCAGCAAGGGGCGCTCACCCTGTGGTCTGTGTGGGTCCTAACACCCCAGTATAGTGACGGGGACACTATACTATCAAAGAGCACCGTCCTTCGGATGAGACGTTAAACCGAGGTCCTGACTCTCTGTGGTCATTAAAAATCCCAGGATGTCTTTCGAAAGAGTAGGGGTGTAACCCCGGCATCCTGGCCAAATTTGCCCAGTGGCCTCTGTCCATCATGGCCTCCTAATCATCCCCATATATATATATACACTGATTGGCTTCATCACTCTGTCTCCTCTCCACCAGTAAGCTGGTGTGTGGTGGGCGTTCTGGCGCACTATGGCTGCCGTCGCATCATCCAAGTGGATGCTGCACATTGGTGGTGGTTGAGGAGATTCCCCCTTCCATGTGAAGCGCTTTGAGTGCCTAGAAAAGCGCTATATAAATGTAATGAATTATTATTATTATAACTAGATATTCCGGCAAAATGACAGACTTCTCTCTGGTGACGTACGCTGAAATTCTCCAAACATTTTGTCCACTTAAACTCACCCTTTCTTACAATCAACTGCAAGCTCACATTCAGCCGACGTGG